TTCGAGTGCGTACACACATCTGTTTGTGTGTGGTGTTTATGGATATAGACCTCCTCACTACACTGCCTCCCTGATTTATCTTCAAACAGACAGCTCACCTATCTCCTCTCCCACACCCCGTTTTTTCATCTATTCCTCTCTGTCTGTCTCTCTTATGCTCACCACTTAAATCCATCCATCTTTCAAAATACCTTCTCTCTCAGTCTAGCCCTCCCCTCCTAAATCCATTTCTCCTTCCACACATTTTACTCCTTCATCCATCTCTTCCTGTTTCCATCTATCCACCCCTGCGTCTGCATTTACTTCCCGCAGGGTAGACAATTTCCTGAATCCTACTGGAGTGGAAAGATTTCAGATTTAATACATCCCCCGCTCATGTGATGTGCTCAGGCTTCAGAGGAAGGTGTGAGGGGTTCAAAGGAGGAGCAGAAATGGGAAAGAGAAAAAAAATGCTGTTTCTCAAAAGTCAAAAAGTGCAACATACTGTTTAACAAGATAACAGTTTATTATCAGGTTTGCTAATTAGCACTAAACAAGAACTACAGCTGAGGATGATGGAAACATCGTTAGTTTCGCAGGTATTTGGTTGTTAATCTTCAGAGAAAGAGTTTTCACATTCACAGGGCAGTTCATAGTGAAAATGACAGGAAATCAAGGAGAGAGAGGGTGGTGTGACATGCACAACCGATCCCCACCTCTGTCTGTACAAACATTCAGTGTGCCTAAGTTAAGATATATTACAAGATAAACAAAAACTTTGACTTGTCGGTGGCATTATGGCAAAGATCAGGTGATCACCAAAATCACTCACTGAAAGTCAGTCTATGCAGTAGTTGCTGAGATATTTCAGTGTTGACCAAAATGAACCACAGACTAATATTACTATGTCACTACCATACTAATACGTATGTAGCCAAGCAGCCAAACAGTGATATGTCCTCTCATCATACTTATAATACTAGGACTAACAAGCTCTTTGCTGCAGTACAAAAACATTGTTGTGAGCATTCTTTATTTCCATGCAGTTCAAAAACAGAAGGTAACATCAGGAAACATTAAAAAGCCAGCTGGCATTTTAACCAACCAGGTAACTAGTTACAAGTGATAATATCTGCCAATGACTGTTGTTATTTTAGTCTGCAAAATCAATCATCACCAGCAGAGACTTAAAAAAAAAAACCCTGCTTTTGTCTATCTCTGTCTGAGATCAAGGATCCGTCATTCAAAAAAAAACTACTTCAAATTTAGTTGGTAAATCTGCCATCTTAATCATTGGAAACTACAAGAAAGGAAAGCTTGACTTCCATTGCAACAGTAACCAAGAGAGAAATTTTTCAGATCAAATCTGAATGTTTTCAGTTTGAGATTAGGAAGAAAATATGAAACAAAGCAAAATCGAGGTAATGAAAGAGGAGGAGGGAGAGACATGGAGGGAGTAGAGGGGTGGGAAGAGCTGAGGATTGAGGGGAAATAGCAAAAGGCATAGGGTAAAGAGCAGTGAGGGGGGTTATACACGAGTGGCCTGGTAAGGTTGGAAAGCTGCTGTCACTTTATCTAGTGTGCTGTCTCCTCAGCAAAGTCAGGGAGATAGTCACATCATATCACTTCCGCTCCTTTCTTGCTCGTCCATCTGTATTTACGTTTATGACTCTGTTGATGGATATATAGTGTACGGTCCACACACACAGAGCAGTCAGGTGTCCTGCCTCTGACACTGGTTGTTAAGGTGATGTAACTTCAATACAACCTCACTGAGGAGACCTTGAAGAAAATCACCTTCAGCCATTCACATTGTCTCACTTATGTATTTTGTTTGTACCAGAGCCCTAAAGATAGACGAGTTGCAACCGTGTGGGGTCAACAAACATATACGGGGTCACGTAAATTGTGCAAATTGGTGTTCTCATTGTAGGTAAGTCCTAATCACTTAGCTGCCAGCTACTTCACAATTGTATCACCACAATAGAAAATGGCTGAATTACCTGGCAACAGATTATATTTATTCTATAATTTCAGTCAGATGTGTGAGGGATAAGATAAACTTCATATTTAAAATGTCATTCTTTGGGCTTTCATGTGATATTCAGATGGCTTGGATGGAAATCAAAGCTATGGTTGCAGCCAGTCAAACATCTGCAAAATAACACCCACCGCATCTAATACAGAATTAATGGTAGTCATGAGGACGGCAGACACATTTTGCTTCATGAGAAGTTCGCACTAAATACATTTTAGCATCAACTTTGAATTTGTTTTTATCCAAAATATGAAATATGTCGCAGCTGCTCCTATGCATGCCGGGAGCTAAAATGAGTGAAGTGGAGTCATTTATTCTATCTTTACATGATTAAATGGTTGTTATTCACGTCGGCGCTAATGACTCCCGACTTCGCCAGTCAGAGGTCACTAAAATTAATGTTGAGTCGGTGTGTAACTTTGCTAAAACAATGTCTGATTCCGTAGTTTTCTCTGGACCCCTACCCAATGTGACCAGTGATGACATGTTTAGCCGCATGTCGTCATTCAACCGCTGGCTGTCTAGGTGGTGCCCAGAAAATAACGTGGGCTTCATAGATAAATGGAAAACATTTTGGGGAAAACCTGGTCTGATTAGTAGAGACGGCATCCATCCCACTTTGGGTGGTGCAGCTCTCTTATCTAGAAATCTGGACGAGTTTGTTTTACAACCTAAATTATGACAACCCAGAGTTGAGTCCAGGATGCAGGGTCGCAGTGTTAATATAATAGCATCAAAAATTTAGTAAAAGTTTTTATGTTTTATTTTTAATGATATATGATTTTTTTAGTTTATTTAATGGATCATAAAAGTAATATACTTTGAATCTCTCTGACAGCACTGCTGAGAGGATTTGTAGGCTGGTGGTTTCTGCTCTCTGCTGGTCAATATAGGGAGTTATAGAATATACAGCAAAACCAAGAAAAAAAGGATTTTTGAGTGTGTGCCTAAGCCCAGACAGTTGGGAATACTTTTTCTGTCCCACACTGTCAAGCATAAATTCAGATTCCTCTAATTGTGACCTTGTGTCTTGTTGAGATCAGTTCTGCATCTGTCTTTAATTTGCTTTATTTCGATTCTGAATAAAAGAACAATACAAATAAAAGAATAAAGCCACACAATACATTGTTATTTTTGTCATAAAGAGAGGGAGAATCGGAACTATGACAAGTGAAATGGAAAACAAGGTACAGAACACTGAAGGAAAATTGCGGAAATTATTTATTTGGGAGCACTGATGAATTACCAAACAGGCCAAAGGGGCAAGGGATCAGAGGGGCCTGGGCCAGAGCCTCTGCGTGAAGTGTCAATTAATATTTCTTGTCTGAAAATCAATTAGCTTGTTTAAAAGACTACACATAAATGCAAAACGACCACAAGCAGATTCAAAATAGCTAAGGGGGCAAAAAATGACCATAGAGACAAAAAAGGACTGCAAAGAGGCAAAGAACTACTACTACCACTACAGAGAGATACAGAGTGACCATAAACATTGCATCATTTTTTTTGTTTTGTGTGTCCCTCAGACTCAGGGTCTCCTGTTTAGGGCTTTTTACCTGCCGGTGCCTAAAGTCCCATTTACTCACAATTTGTCCATGTTTGGGAGAAGGAAACTAATAAAAAGAGATAGAAGAAGCAGAGATAAGAAAAAAACTACAAAGAGACAGAGACAAATAAAGTCAGATTCTGGGAGCATGCCAAGCACATTAGTTACAAAAGCTGATCATTAATCATCATTGTGCAGCTTGTCACTGGGAAGTATTCACATCTGTAATTAGGACAAATTGGTAACCAGTGAGGCATTTAAACTTTGTGTGTGTGTGTGTGTGTGTGTGTGTGTGTGTGTGTGTGCAGGCAAGCTTTTGTATTCTCATTAATGTAGAGAGGGTAAAATGAAAGTGCATCAAGGATAAACAGTGCCTGCATTTCTTTCCAACTAGCTGATTACACTTAGCACCCTGTTAACCACAAAGGAGAACATAATCTGTGAAATGAGCAGCTATACAGTGAAAATAATTGTCTGTGGTGCAACTGTGGTCCATGGTAGCTGCAGTCTATCAAAAGACAACATGTAAAAATTTATAATAGTAGTCTAAGTAGTAGTCCTGTAATATATTAAATGAACCAGAGTTAAAGTAAACTAAAAGTATAAACTAGCATCAAATTCAAGTAAAGTAGGCTACATGTGGCTCAGAATTGTAGGCTACTTAAATACAATTCTTGAGCACATGTAATTAGCTGCTTTTTGACACTGGGAAATTCACAATACAACACCAATGACTAAACTGGGAGCAAAAAAGGCATTTGTATGGTATGGGAGCAGTCCAGAAGGTGGACTAGTGGCAGCAGTGCAGGTTATGGATGTAATAAAAATGTGGTAAAGGAGCTAGAGCAGTTATACTTAGTTGCATTGTAGGCTAGATCAGAATCAGAATCTGCTTTATTGGCCAGGTGTGTCCGACACGAGGAATTTGACTCTGGTACATCGGCTCTCAATGTGCATGTATATATGCAAAGGGCAAGTAAACAGTAAACCAACATAAGGCTAGTATAACAAAATAAGCAGTATTAACAAGCAACAAACTAAGCAGTATAAACAGGCAGCAAACGATGCAGACAAAGGAATCCTCATTGTGAAATGAGATAAACAGGAATGGGTCAAGATGTAGTAGTAATAAAAGTAGATACAGTAGAAGCAGCATACTTAGGAAATATTCAATTCTAATGCATTTTTCACATTTTAAATTATTAGCTACGTTGGAGATTCAGATTATCAAAACAATTAATAAACTATGGTGTTTTATTAGACCTTTTGTTCTTCTGTTTCCAGGCGACATATAATGTGAAACGATTTGAGCATTTCTTCCACCACTGGACAGTATCGGCACTTACAATAATAACAGTAACATTTAATATTGTTGCTAGAATAGTACAACCAGTACTTATTTTAATCTTGTACTGTGTGCTCGACCAATGCCGTCATTTTACGCATGCGCAATGCGCCATTGACGATAGCTGAGGAGGGAAGTGGGTCGAGACTTGACACGAAATCTGAGATTTCACGGACTTATTCCACGCTCCGATTTTGAGGATGCAAGGCTACATCTTGCGGACAGGAGTCATTCAGATACAGTTTTTGTAAATAGCTCGTGAAAAATATGTGGATAATCCAGGAGGCATAAATCTGCACCGCTCCACCGCTGGCCCCGACGGAACGGTAACTTGGGACAGGCAGGGTTCTCCTGCTGTTAGCTGCCACACCAGCTAACTAACTCTGGATAGCATAAAGTACTACCTATGTACATGGCTTTAATTAGTTTACAGTTTTAAACTACATACTGGTCACTAACCAGCCAACTATTTTCACTGGTGCATAAATAAATGTGTTGCTACCCATCAGACAAAGTGTTCACCAATTACGGTTTTGCGTTACTGACCATAACAACACGCCCGCTAACCTCATATTAGCATGTTGTTAGCCAGTTTGCTATCAACGGTCATCGGTGCTAACCTGCTAGCTGATGTTTTTAGGAGCAGGTAACTAGCGAATTTCGTTTTATATATGTACAATGTATTTTCCGGTAGGCTCTTCGACATAAAACCTAGCACGAAAGAATTTTGCTATATTATCGACAGGTTTCATGTTTCAGAAATTGAGCAATGCTCCCCTTTGTTGAGTACAGTCGCTTTAGAAACTATTCAAATAATTTGGTAATTGAGTTTTACATCAAAAATACCAAATATTTTTGGTCTAGCTTCTTTAATGTGATTCTTTTGTTACAGCAGTATGTCAAAACCATATAGTAACTGGAATATCTTTGAGTTTTAGACTGTTGGTCAGAACATTAGATTAGATCATCCTGGCCTGTAGGAAATCAGAATCGGAATCAGATTTATTGACCAAGAACACACAAGGAATTTGACTCCAGTACGGTGACTCTCAATGTCCTTTGTAAGGTAGCATAATATTTGTTTAAATAAGAAGAGAAAAGATACACAAACTATTTATTTACTATCTGTTTATATATATACACATTGTGGCAGAAGAGCAGCTTTGAGAAAACTATGGTTTTAAATTGCAAATTGTAACAGAACGCTCTTTTACTATATTACACTGCACGTAGACGTCTCAGCCATTATTGGCAGGCACGCTTTATGCTGATAAAATGCTTTTTAAGCCTTTTCCCGGTTTGGTTTTTAAAGAAACCTTTTATTTTGAAGGAAAGAAGCACTTACTTCCAGCTAGTTTTTGTTTGTCTACAGTAACTTCACGTAGCTTCCAGAACTAACTGCAGCCAGAGTGGCGCCGCTAACTAGCCAAGAGGAGGCAGGCGATCACAACAACTTCAACTCAATGTTTACCCTAGCATAAACAGTTCCAGTTTATCCTAAACTGAACTGGAAATGCAAAACCATCTGCTCCGTCAAGCCATTAGGTTGTCGGTGAGCTACTATTATTTTACAGCTAACAACTTTGAACGTTACCGTTTAGGCTTCATGCCTTCTACCAGTCGACCTGATTCAGAACACAAACATTGTGTTTACCACTTTGTGGTGGAAGAAGTATTCACATCGTTTAGATAAATAAATGAGCCACATATACATTTAGTAACAGTGTAGAAAAGTATAATCAGGAAAGT